TCATGCACCCCTGTTCAGTGGATTTTGGCAGTACAGTGGGGGCTGCAGAACAGACACTTGAGATATTTGATGAATTTATTCAATAACAGCGGGAACAAATACTAATAACGTAAGATCTGATCTTGACAACTTCACCATGTAGCCTATAGCTAAAGGCAAACACAGCCCCGGTCATGAATCTCTTCAAATATGTTAACTAATCAACTGCACATGTATAATCACGCTTGTAAAACATTAACTGATGCTGCCTGCAGTGCAGAAGCTCATATACAGTCCCCAGACTTTACCACCCTATTATCCATGGAAACACCAGAGCAACACGGGCAAGGACAGCAAACAATCGTTTAGCAGTGCGATCCATTTTTACATTTTACCAGGCACAGGCTTTTAAACACTGCGGGCAAAAGAGCACAATATATAATATAGAACGATATATGCAAAACCAGATCATGAACTTGAAAGCTCCAGCACGTGGATCTGTTCATCAATCTTCTGCTCATACAACCTGAAAAGGCTTGCAGTGCCAATCAATGGCAGTTTGATTAGCTTCCCTGTCGTAGCACTGCTCCAACAGAAGTTCTTTTATTGTTCCCAGCACAACGGTCTCACAACACATCTCGCTTTGAGCCCAGTCGCAACGCAGAAGCCATCAACACGGACTCTCCCAGCCAACAGGTGAAGCACACTTGAGACGGAAAGAAAAAAAAATCAAGGGAGGCTGATCGATCAATCGTTCGATCAATCTACACAGCCGGGTTCAGCATCTGCCTTCCTTCTCTGTTCTCAAGGCAGCACTGTGTGGGCTCCCAGGCAGAGCTCTCTGGGAAAGACCAGTCCCACAGCCGTGCCTGAGGAGGCCCGTGGAATTTCTCTCCAGCTGGCTGGACAGAATTCACCTGGGCCTCGCTTCAGTGAGCTTTGTTTCCCTCGACCGGGGGCAGGTAGCTCTGCTGTGACACGAGCCCCCACTCCCTCCCCAAACCGACCAGCTGATGAAAGACTCTTGTTTGGATGAGCCCTCTCGCTCAGTCATCTTTTCTTTACCCCCCAGTGTCATGGCACTGCCCAGCACCAATGTGCTTGGCGCACATTATCGCGGACCCATGACTGGTCTAGAAACACCAGTCACCAGAATGGCCTGAGAGATCACCGGCGTGCAGCTCTCCCTGCTGTGATCCGATCTTCAGCCGGGGCACAGTCCCTAGCAGGCCCAGAGCCACGCGGCACCAAGACCGCGAGGAATTCCACAAGAACGGATCCTCTGTCGCTGCCAAGTTCTACACTGTCTAGATTTCGGAGGGCGGTGATGTCACTCCCGTAACTAGCTTAGGGTGCTGAGCCCTGCCACACATGAACTGTACAGGCGCCCAATTTGTTAATGAAACCCCCCGACACGAGTCCTAATGCTCGTATCTGTAGAGCATGCTCCATACTGCGCTCGCTCTATAGGACGAGCCCAGAACTGAACTGTGCTCAGGGCTCTGGACTCCAAACCAAACACAGTGTAGTTTCAAGACGCCATTATGGACAGTACTGGTGGACCACGTTTGACTCCCGCTCTCCACCCAGATGTAGAAACAGCTGTCGCAGCGCTGTGGGGAGCTAGCACCCATACAGAGGGACAGTCCTGTACTCTGTCTGCTTAATGTTACTGAAACTGGGATAAACACTGAGACGACGAGCCACTAGTCCTCAGTGTGGACTTTTATTTCGGCTTTTTACTTGCTTCACACAAAGGAAGCGCAGAAGCACAGTAACAAACCTTTAGAAACAGTAAAATCGATAATTAATAACGTTAATCAGCTCAATATGGAAAAGGACCCAGAGGAGAAGGATGCGATGTTATCACACTGAGGGGAACAGGTGTCTCTCCCTCACTCACTCTGTCCCTTCCAGCCTCTTTAACAGCTATCATCATCAGAACAAAAATAACTTTCCAAGAGCCCATTTGGAGTCCCTATTCGAGCGCCCTTGACCTAGGCACCATCACAAAAACGTTAAATTAAACTACTCATTGCAGAGATAATTAATCGGCTTTCTGATACTTCTGTCCAAAAGCACTGAATAAATAAGGAGCTACTGCGGTCGGGCCTAAGTGTCTGGCAAAACAAAACACTGGAAGAGATCCTGGCGTCGTGCGAGTTTTATTCAGAGGGCAGCCAAGAAGCCGGCTCCCTCTATCTTTCTCTTCTTCACTCTCGTAAAACGACAAACCGCGGCACACAGCTTCCACGCCGGGCTGGACCGCGGGAGTTTTTGCAGAAGAGGGCGGCGTCGATCAAGAAAAGAGCGAACAAAAAGGCGGATCGGGGGGCCACCCGGGTGTCCGCCGCTCTGCGCCGATATACTGTATGTGTGCACTGATTCATCCCTGCTTCAGGGGCGCTCCTGGGGGACCCGGACATCACGCTCCCCGATAATTACACGGTGCGCAAATAGCACATGCATTACGGTTCAAGCCCCCGGCCAGTTTGAAGTGCCGCAAGAGGCTGGAGCACGTTTAATGACCCAGGAACGAGCCCGCTGGTGGAGCCAAAAGCCCACAATCGCGCAAAAACCGACTCGACGTCAGGCAAACGCTTTCCTCCTCTGCTCGGCCTCCCCTCTGGCTCCACAGCGCACTTCGAGAGCTAGGGTCTCTGCGGGACCCTCCTGCTCCAGTTGAACTGGTG